CGGCACTGATAAACCCGAACTTAAGTGGGCCATTATTAATCAGAATTAATTAAATTAAAACAAAAATAAAATTAATAAATTATTTAATAAAATAAATAATGTAATTTATTATTAAATTCTATTAAAATATATAACACAAATTCCGAAGAATCCAAAGATAATTACAAAAACCCTATTTTTTTAAAGTTTTAACACCCTGCAACTTTAAAACAACACTTTGATTTTTTTTACATTTTTTGATGGGGAATCAATGAGTACTTATTTAAGATTTTGGCAAGTTAATGACATTATTTTTTTTAAAGGTTGTTATTAGAATTATTGAATTTAAGCAAATTAATTAAATAGCATTTATATCTAATAACAGATAACTTTTTCAGCATTTAACGGCACTCTATAAAATTCATTCGAATCGCGAAAAGCACTTGGAAGAAAATTGTAATGAACCGAAAGATTATTAAGACTTTAACACCCTGTAGCTCCGAAACAAAGCAGAATCGGACATCTGTTATAAATAAATCTTATTTTTACGTGAGGAATCTCCTAACCCAGCCTGACCTCCCCACGAAAGATGGCACGTGTTTTTTGAAACACCCTGTAGATGGCAAATCTGTAATCAATAATACATCCATTTTTACAATAATTCAGAGGAAGCAAAGATAAAATTGAATAGAAAGAAGTTGTTTTTATTCGTAACAAAATATTTTATATTTTATTTGTCATTGATTTTACATGATAATGAACATCATCAGTAAAACTACTATAAGTGGGCCATTATAAGACCCCATCGCATTTATTCAAAGTGTTGAAATTATTTGTAAACAAACCTCTGCCGGTCAAATTTATTTTTGCAAACCCTTTACTAACAAATACTTTTAAAAATTACATATTCGAATAATCATAATTTACTGTAATTTTTTTACAGATAACGTTTTAAATACAATATAAATATTTATATTTCGTATGTGTTATTACAGATTGTTAGAATAACGAAATATTTGCAAATGTTTTTACCTTGTCATCAGTGCCTTAGTGACTACGTTCTTTGTAATAACCCTTCATTTTATAATACAATACAAACAAAAAGCCCGTGCCGTTAGTTACCTTTGTGTTTGAAATTTCTACCCCTCCGGCACAACTTTAATAAGTTTATTTTAACATGCGTTATTGCGTGAATGATGGCAGGGACATTGCCAGTACGGAGACTTCTAAACCAGAAATTGTAAAATTATAGATAATAATACGGTACAAAAATTATACAAGGGGGAATATTGAACTTTGTTATAATATGATTAATATGTGCAGTGGCGTTTGTTTTTTTCTTTCTTTCTGTTGTTATTACCGACTAGTCTTAAGAGTTGCAGAATTGTATATTTATATATGTTTGCATATACAGGTTGTTAACTGGACAGTTACTTATAGGGGAACAGAATGGCAACACTGCCTATTGAGAACGCATGCACTTATAGGGTTTTCTGCCGACTCGTCCCGTCGCGTCGTCTATCGACGAGCGGGCCGAGGTTGCCATATTTCAACCATAAAGCGGCAAGCGAGTAATAAACAAATTAACAACCTGTATAGTCCAAGGAATAAATGTAGAATAAAGATATTATAGTATTATTATATTATGCATTATATTATAAAAATAAAATCTAGGAACTAGTGGGGTTGCAGTCGGGAGGGTTTGAAATAGAATTAACACACTTTGTTAATTGTCAAGCTTTCGGAATTTATTCATTCCTTCCTCAGGACGTCAACGTGGTACAAGAGACCTTCCTAAAAACTACATTAATAAAAAATTGGCTTGTGGGATGCATTGAAAACTCCACCGTGAAGCATCGCTGACCAATTAATCACAAAAAAGAGGGCTCTCTTGGGGCGGTTAAGCCGCCTGATATTTATTTAAAACATTGGAATAATTGGGAGATATTCGATTAAAAATTCAATTGCGTCTTAGTCTAAAGGCGGCTACAGACGGCATGGCAAGCCTTGGCCAGTGTCCGCTCGTTTCAACGTTGGCGCATCGTGTGTATGCATATGGCAAAGCAAAGGCAAAGCAAAGGCAAGGTTGGCGCTGGCCAGGGTTCGCCTATGAAGTGGTGTTTTCGACACACATCAAAGGGACTTGTTGAAACTTGCCAGTGGGCTTGATCGCCGTACACACGACATATGTTAGTTTTTCTTTCATTTCTTGTGTTATTTGTACCCTTGTACAACGTTCGCCTTCACTTGTCTCGAAAAGACTGGCAAATATAAAACATGTGTCTGTACGGTCGTCGGTGCACGAATATCAAGCAAAGACCAACGCTTCTACAAACGTTTGCTGAAACGCTGGCCATGGCCTTCCATGCCGTCTGTAGCCGGCTTAAGGCGTGAAACACTAATTCCTAGATTTTCTTTCTCACTAGTCAGTCGATATTACTGTCTTATATTAAGTATTAATTTTTCAATATAGTTAATTGTTTAAGCAAAAATTTGTTACTAAAAGTTTTATTAGATTAATTTGTTAGATATATTTTAGTAGTCGAATAGTTTGATATTTTAATGTTGCATATTAGCAAAACATTGGAGTAAAAATCCTCCTGTAAAAATACGATGTAGGGTAGACATGGGGCAGACTCAATGTTTTGTTGTTTATTTTACGTTGTCAATAAATGCTGGTAGTGATTAAAATTGTTATAAAAATAAAAAAAATCTAGTAAAAACAGATAAGTCATAATAATTATTTATTAACACAAACATCAGATACGCTTCTGAAGCAGGTAAGTCAAATTGACGTATCTAAAATCTTCGACATCTAATCTTTGACAAGTAGTAAATAAAAGAAAAAATGCAAGAAAAAATATATGATTAGTTAGAATATAGATAAAAAATAGTAATAATACAAATACGTATTTATATGTGTAAGTTTGAAACTATTTTTGGAGTGGCTATTAATTAAAACTAAAAATGTAGGGGAGGATAGGGATATTCCATTTCTATTACTATTTATTTCGATATTTGGTTAACTAAACAAAATTCAATATTCTCGTAAAATTAGTTTAGTTAATTATCATATTTCATATGTTATTTATTATTTAGTATTTAGAAAATCAATTTTTCTTTATTATTCGGTTTAAAATTTTATTATAATATGAAATAATTTTATTTGAAAGAGTTGGCATTCAAATATTATCTACTGCGTACTTCCTCAATTTAGGGTTTTCGACCGTTAATAAAAATAAATATTACACGAAATGATCCATATTTAGATGTTCTGAATAATTTAGTATTCTATGTAAATATATTCAAGGCAAACGAATATTTCGGATATTCTTACCGTGGCTTTTTATGTTTAACTATTTAGAGGCTTTTATCTGGATACGTTCTTCTATTAGATGTTGTTGAAAATAAGAATTAATGAATATTGTTACCGTTATTATGGTTTAACAGAGTAAGAACATTATGGACTCAAACATGCTATATAATTCACTATTATGTTTCATCGATAGCTCTCATGAAGATTCTTAGGTGTGTTAACTACTCACACCCAATTCATAAACATCACGTCTTTAATGTACACATAGAAATAAAGAAAAAATATATTTCGTATTGCTCATAAGTTCATCGTTTTCTAGAAAGTAATCCTCTAATATACAGGGTGTCTCACAGCCATGATAGGTTGAGCTCACACACCTAAAGATATATGTATGTAGGTAATTATTTAAGACTCATCCTGTATAATTAAATAATATGATAAGTAGATTATCTACTCGTATTTTGGCTTTAGAATTATGGAAATTAGTTTTCAAAGATGTACAGGGTGTCCCAGTTTGGTGGAAATAATACGGTATCTTACTGTCCTGCTATCTTTACTAAAATATGTTTTAAACGTGTATCTTTTTATTACCGTTTAGTATTTTTCTCTACAATCTTTAATTTTTGTTAAATTAACAAACGGTATATCACACAGCCACCTAGATTTTTTTAAATAATAAAGATCTACTGACGCAAAATCATAAAAATTAAAATATCTAGTCCACTCTGTCGTTCGGACTGTGTTGAACAGCGATTAGGTCGTTGATAAGAATTATCCCGACTAGTCGCTAAAACCGGCTTTAAGCTGAGAGAGAGAGAAAAAAAATATCTAGTAAAATCTTTGTCTGGGAGGTAGGCAACCTTAATAATATTTTGAAGATATATAAATTCCCCATTGAACACCGGAAAAATATACTGGGTGTTCCGTTTAAAATAAAGGAGTAACTTGCTTTTAAAAATGACTAATGTTCCATATTAATTTTGTCTCACCCTGTATAACTTTTAGGGTCAAATTTCAATTTGGTTTAACATACAATGGTTACTGTAATTAAATATTAGGCTATACAAGGTCAACTACAATTTAGGTAGCTGTTATCGAAATTTAAAATGTATACTCTTCACTTTCACAAAATGTGAAATATATTAAACTTCTTAGATTTTAGGTATATGCTTCTTTAATAAAACTCACCTTTATTTTTTTCTTAGAATCCGAAAATCAATTAATATATGTATAGGGTGTTCCATTAGAAAAAATACAACTTTGATGTGTAACTTTTTTTGGGGACACCCTGTATAATTCTATATATTTTTATAAAATGCTTTCAGTTAACCTACATATGCTTCCAAAATTTCATTTTGATATAAACTACCGTTTTCCTTGGAGCTTCCGCGGCGTATGAGAGGCGCCACCCTGTATGTTGCGGTCTTTATCTGCTATACCAACTGTATGTCAGTTTTTTTTTCGATGTGCTGAATTGACAAACATATTTTATTTAATAAAAAGAAACTTCGCCGCACACTGCGTAAGAGATCCGGCGCTGACCTAATCCAACCCCTTTATTTGACTGTCACACCCTGTACACTACGGCATCGGCAGTTTCCTCCCAGCCAGAGCGTCGGCGTCGCGGCGCCGTATTTCCCCTCTTCCCGCTTCCTCCGTTTTCCCCTTTGTCCAGCAGGAAAGAGGCACATTTGTCAGGCGATGTTTCTATTAGGTTTCTCTTTGTTCCGGGCTAATACTATTCGACCCTATCCCACAATTCAAACGAGAATTTAGTTCCAAGTCGGTCAGTTTTATATCTGAAACATTATCAGTTTCTGTCGTTCTTTGAACGATTCATTCTTCAATCTCGCACGTTCTGTTACCGGCAACCTAGAAATCCGTGCATCCCTATAATCCAAGATGGCGGCGACCAATTCATCGACAGGGCGGCGGTTTAAAGGGATGTAGATGTGACGGAGGAAAATATATTGAAAAGTACGTCGTAAAGTATCTGTAAAATAATTTTCCGTTGACAGCTCGAGTTAGACAAAGGGACATTTTACCCGGTATAGGTTAAGTTTTCGCGACTCGATAATGACCGGTTTGACATTTGCTGGCTTGGTTTCCGATGCAGGTAAGTGGTTTTCGGAGCATGTTTAAATCCTATTAATGATTAATTTTTATCGTTTGTCAATTATTTAAGTGACGTAAAAACAGCGTTTTGCGTTGTTGGTCAATACTCGTATTTTCGTCCTTATACACTCAGATGCAAAAAAACGCAACAGAGAAATTTTTGATCAAATTTAAAGTGTTATATTTTTGTTATTTTTAGCCCTATTTTCATGAATTTTTTAGCAAGCCGTATATCATTATATCAACTTCAATTCGTAAACTCAGTTTTTTTTATAAACAATGGCATATTATACAGGATTAATCGAGGGGTTGTTTTTTACCTTAACTTTAAAACACCCTGGGCAATAATTTCGTTTGTATATTTTCCTAAAATATAATTTTACGGTCAGAACCATGACTTCTGAGTATTTTGTTTTTTGATTCATGTCAGTACATGCTTTGGTTAATTTTTAAGAGCGAAATGAACTGATCACGATCAATTTTTAATTTTTTCAATTTTCATTACCTTCTGATGTAATTTTTTAATATGACTGTTGCGTTTTTTTGTATCTAAGTGTAAAACTGTGTTTCCTAGATTAATTGAACGTTGTTGATGACGTTTCTGTCATTGCCGGATTTAAGAATTTTTTGTGTCCGGTAATTTATTAGTCTCCAGTGTATTGCATGTCGGTATCAGTTGGTTTGGCGGTTTGGTGGTTTACGAGTACGATCGTAACAAATTTAATCTATTTGATTTATGTCTCTCATTATTTATCAGATTGTTGTTTTTGTTTATACAAAAGAATATTAAGCTAGTCAGTCTGTGAAGAAGCATTTTTCTAAAAAAAACCGTAATTTACTATTTATTCTTTAATGTATTTTTATAAATAGTGTATTGTTTTATTAGGTGTAAAAATGATAGTATTAGTCCCGAGATTGTACCTCTGATTAGAACATGCTATATAGACTCCGTATAGAACATGCTATTTTTTTCAAACGTCACAAATAATTTTTATTAAACGTAAAGAAGATTTAAAAGTAATACCTTGTAAAATATGGTTACACCGAGGGGTGTCTTAGTGTTGTTTTATTAGGAGTAAAAATGACATTTTTTGTGGCGAGACTGTACGTTTGACGGACGAGTATTTTAGCGAGTCCGACATATACAGCCGAGGCACAAAAAGTCATTTTGATTCCGAACAGAACATGCTATTTTTTTCAAACGCCACAAATCATCTTTTAACTAATTTCAAACGTTCCAAATAATATAAAAAAAGATTTAAAAGTCATACCATGTAATTATATATCAAGAAACAACTATGGTTGCGCTCGTTGAATCTGCGTTGGGTCTGCTGTTGTTACTTTTTGATTTCCCCTGTAAGCCTAAACACTAATATGGCGCCCATGTAGGCATAACAAGATTTTTGGATGCGCACTCGTCGAAGCTCATTCTCCTTATGTTTATATCTCTGGTTTGAATCTACCTTTTCAGTAGTTATGTTCTATAGGTACAGCTTTTCGCTATATATTTCGTTATGTACTATACAGTTTGTGTTTAAAATTTGTTAAAATTTAATTTTTGTAAATACATTTTTCAAATGAAAATTAAATTTATTATTTTATCATATTATCCTATCCTAATACTGTAAGTAACAAACAAGAACAATTAAAATAAATTTTGTAAACTCTCTGGCAAGTATGTAAACTAGCAGCTATTTTAGTAAACTGAGGTAAAATCCCCATCCTAACCAGATTTTGTAAATAGTTTGCATACTAACCAGTTAAAATATAAACTAGCTGCGGTTGTCTGCTATTTTGCAAGAATAGACCGATTCCTTCAAAATAACAGCGTTTCTAGTTAGTTTGCGAAATAGCTGGCTAGTTTTAAAACTAGCTAAGTATCCATAGCCGTAACATATACAATACACATAAGGCAATTGATACGTCTGCGTCTTATCGATTAGTTAGAAATTTTTCATGCTATTTTTTGTTAGAATTTAATAGTTTTTATTATATTACATTGTATCAAATTGAGCAATTTATTTTTTTTTAAATTATGTGCCTGTTTCGTTTCGATCTTACAAAATACATTTTTTTTTGCGGCATAGGTATGACAAGGACCACTCACTTTTTTGTGCTTGTTAAAAGCCTGTCACAGAAATAAAATTATAATACATAATTAATAATAATAATAAATCTACTGTTGTACAGCCAACTGCAATGTTCAGTTGAGAAACTCCAAGGCGTCTCTCTCTGATCAACTTAACTATTAAACTTTTTTTAAATAAAAAATGGAAATCAATTAATGCGTTTGGATAAACTAAGACAGTATTTTTTTAATTTGACATAAACTATACTTGTACCTATTATCTTAATATAGTTGATTGTTATGATGAAATAAAACTTTTTGTTTTAGTTAATTATTGTTTACTTCCAACTTTTTTAAATGTGTTTTTACAAGTTATTGTTGTTTTATGTGTACTTTAGTTTTATATTGTCACGATATTTATCTATGACAGAAAGTAATAAGAAAGTCAATATCATAACATTTCCAGAAATATTAGGTAACAAAACAGCATGAACACACTGCCATTAATTTTCCTTTTCTAGCCTAATTTTATTCTGGAGTCAATTGATTACACAGTCGGTCTAATAGTAACGGAAAGTATAAAAAAGATAATTGGATAGCAATTGTATCGAAAAAAAATACCGAAAATAAACAAATTAATACATACCTACTATATCCAATTTTCCTGGGGTAGGTTGGGAACGAGTATATTTTTATAGCCATATATAAATAGTTATTCTGTCGGGTTAGTTATAATTATAAATTTTTTTGATTCACAGAAGATATTTGCATTAAAATAACTGCTATTCAGAATTCTGCGACATATTGCTGTTTTAAATTTGAACGATTAATCTAAATAATGTCACTCATGCGGATATTTCGGTGCGCTGTAAAATATTTTCTTTCTAGATAGGCGTCGTAGATTTTTAATGGACATACATATACAGGGTGTTTCAAAACAAATGCGAAAAACTTCACGGGGTGATTCCTTGTTCAAAATAAAGGGTAGTTTGCTTTATAAACGTTGGGTCAAAAGTCAACCATTAGGGAGATATCGCGGTACAAAGATGGCGGAAAAATAATGTTTTTATTCTTTATCTTAAAAACGAAAAACGATAGACTAATGAAATTTTATGGAAGCATTGAATAGTCTACTTACGTGTTAACGAAATTAAAAACAACATTACGTACTAATTTTGGATAGTTTAGCAGTAGTCCTTTTATCTTCTGTAGCTTGAGAAATTACTGATTTGAAATTAAAAAAATAAAATGTAAAAGCATTACATATCAGATCAAAAATATTTTTAGATACAGAATCTAGTGGGCAGCTCTAATTTTTTAGGAAAAATCTAAATGGCCGCTGTCAATTTTAGTGTTTCTAATATTATTTTATTGACATTATTCTACAGCAATACGTTATTATCTAGATTCTTATTATTACCATTATTATCACTAGATTCTTTATCTAAAATGTTTTTGATCCTGACATGTAATGCTTTACATGTTATTTTTTAATTTCAAATCGGCGAGTTTTATCAAAGAAACACAAGAGATAAAAAAGTTTCTAAATAAACCAAGCTATCCAAATCAATTTTTTGCATGTGTTTGATAAGATTTTTGTTTAAATTTCGTTAACAAGAATGATAAGGGTAGTTTATTTCAGCCCCTTCCACTCATTTTAAAAAAGTGAAAAAATTACCAGAAAGTGTGTTTTCATAACAGTAATGCTCCCATAAAATTTCATTAGACTATCTCTATCTCTTTTCGTTTTCAAGATAAAAAATAAAAACATTATTTTTCCGCCATCTTTGTACCGCGATATCTCCCTAATGGTTGACTTTTGACCCAACATTTATGAAGCAAACTACCCTTTATTTTGAACAAGGAATCGCCCCCTGAAGTTTTTCGCATTTGTTTTGAAACACCCTGTATATCTTTTGGATATACAGGGTGAGTTTCCTACTATGTTCTCTATGGGTATCTCGGAAACTACTGGAGATAGAGAGTTGGTTAAATGGGGAAAGGATTGCAGTTTTGTGGGGTCATAAATATGCGCCTTTCAGATTTTTGAAAAAGTTCATGGCTTACTAGATATTTCGAAAAAAAAAACAAATTTTACCTATTTTAAAAATTATTGTCCCTAACTCCTTTATAATCTATTTTAGACAAAAAGTTTTTAGATAAAAGCTGTAGATAATCACATCCCTAATGAGTTTGTGTTCTCCGATTTTTTTCTAAAGCTTGTCATTTTTGACATACGACACAAACATATGTTTTTTTAAATGGAAACCATAGTTGGCCATGGCTTCATAAAAAGCGCCATTTTTAAGCTTTTCAGCGATGTAAGCTATAATATTTTTTTTCATACACTTATAATATATATAATATTACTACATACACTTTAAGTTATTTTAGGAAATATCCAAAAAAAATCTGCATCTTTTTAAAACTGAATTACTAGCTATTCTTACAAAACGCCCAGTCGACTTAATTAAACTTCTCCCGTACCGCCTCTTCGAGTGCGTCTCTTAATTCGTAAGTTCTTTTGTAAACCTTGTTAACCATACCGCATATAAAAATCTAAAATGGATAGGTCAGGTGATCGAGGAGGCCCATGCGATTAGTTCACCTCTTCCTATCCCTGAGTTTTCATAATTATGTATGTATGTCCGGTTTTATAGCGTCCTTCGTCGCCCTCCGGTCTCCATGCGCCACCACCGTCTATTGTCCCAATCTCCTGGTAGTAGGTTCCTTTCCGACATGGCTCTGTCGATTCCTTGATTCCAGGAGAGTTTAGGTCGGCCTCGTGTACGTCTGTCTGTAGGGGTCCACTGCAACACTCGCTTTGGTATTCTATCGTCAGCCATTCGTTGTACATGGCCGTACCACTGCAGTTGTTTTTCTTGTATATCTTGTACAATGTTATTTTCCACCTTCATTTTTTCACGTATTCT